AAGCAACATTCAACGTCTACATTACTAGCCAATTGGAGGCTTCAAAATGGTAATTATCATTTGGACCTAAACTTCATCTAATCTTCACTCGTGCTCTTGAGTCACTTGGCTTACATTTTGCGATCCTCCACATCCTTGTGTGGGCTGCTGTGATGCCTCAATCCGTGGCCTCCTAGTAGTTCCCTGTGAAGTTAAAACAACATTAGAAGATAGTAGGACTTGATTATAAAGCAAAACTGTAAAATTGAATAAATGCTTACATCTGGCATGAGCTGGACAGTGTTGGGCTGACTCAGTGGCGCTTTTGCTGCTGCTTTTGCAGCCCTCTGTTGCTGCTTCTGTATGGCTGACAATCTATTTTTTTAAGCTCTTTCGAGCTGTTTCGCCCTTTTAGCTTCTTCCTTAGCGTGTTCCTTAGCCTGTCTCCTTTCCTCCACCTGTTTCTTCCTTTCTTCATCATGGAACAGTTTGGTATGCCCAACTACCCCACATGTGGTGCACGCGTACTTCCTTCCTTCCGGCTTTGATGATTCCCTTTCACCCTTCTTCTGTTTTTTTCCCCTTCTCATCCTCATCAAGTCCCTTTCTTCTCTGCTTCTTTGGTCTGCCCCTCTTTTTCGAGTTTGCAACTGGAGGGACTCCACAATCCCCCAACTCAGAAATTGGCCAATACTCCTTGCCATTAGTAGGTGAAATGGAGAATTCATATATCTTCGCCGCTGTTTCCCGCAGGTAGCAATCAGCAACATGGTCCTTGATCAGAAGCTTTGCCTTCCTGATTGTAGTGATAGCATGTGCACGGAATGCCGGTCAACTCCCAATGTCTACATGTACATGTCTTCTTCTTCATATTGACCACAACTTGGTGGCTGTGCCACCTCACCTCAAATTGTCCGTTCCCATTACTTTCTGCTGACCACTTCAGTGCTTCTTCAGTAGTCTCATCTAGCTCCTTCTCAACCTTCTCAGTGAACATAGATGTCTAGCTCTCCACCATTTTCCTTCTGTGGGCATATAACACCATCAAGTTTCTTCTAATCCCCTCCCACATACATACTGGACCCATATCCCTCTCTTCTATAATCACATTGTTCCAACTCTCCACCAAATTGCTCGTATGAATCTTAGAGTTGCAGAGGGTTTGATAATGTGACCTTGTCCAATGGTAGAATGGCTTGTCGATCAACCAATCATAGGCTGCCTTGTTGTATTCTTATAGGGCTTGCATTTGTTGCGAAATTCAGGCACCGTTTCCGCTCTAACTGCTGCCCAGAACAGGTTCTTCATGTTTTGGGACCCCCCACAAGACCCTTTGAAGTTGGTCCACAAGTGCCTTGCACAATACCTCTTCTCACAGGATGGGAAGAGTCCATCGAGAGCTGGCACTAGTCCCTAAAACACCAATAACACACAATTCAAATTCTGGACAACCGAGAATTGTAAGCACAAAACAAGGAATAAATAAAGTGAAAGCATACATTTTGTTTGTCGGACATGAAAGTCCATCCGGGATTGTCCCTAACCTCCAAGTCACTAGCGATGAGCTCCAAGAACCACTCCCAATTCTCTTTATTCTCCACAGGTACATGAGCAAAGGCTACTGGGAAGTACTGATCATTTGCATCAATACCCACTGCTGAAAGGAGTTGACCTCCATACTCATGCTTCAAAAAACAGCCATCAATAACCAAGACATGCCTGCAACCAGCCCTGAAACCCAGTTTTGAAGCCTGGAAACACACATACATCCGATCAAAGTGATGATTTCTTTGCTCGATGATCACTGTAGAACCTGGGTTGCTCCTCCTCAATTCCTCGACATAGTGGTATAGCCCTCGAAATTGCTCTATAAAACTGCCCCTAACCTTCTCAAGAGCAGCCCTTCGAATCCTCCATGCCTTCGAATCCAATACATCTTCCTTAAAGTCTTCCTTGCATATCTGTTTGAGTAGCCCCTTGCTCATCTTCTTGTCTGCTGCCATCTTCCCAGCAAGTTTATCTCCAAGAAACTTGGCAGTTGCAAACTTCACCTTAAATGTCCTCCGGCAATCTCTAGAATGCTGTAGCTTGCACTTCTTGATCTGTACTGCATCTCTGAGAATCATCTTGGAGGCCCATATATACCAATCACATGGATCAGCACATACTGCTTGCAGCCTCCTCGAGTCATTCTTCTTGAAGCGAATGGGGCGCTTTTCCACAAAGGCATGCTGCTTTATGGCCTCTTTCAACTCGTCGAAACTGCTGAATCTTTGCGAAACAGCGAAAGTAGGACTCTCCATGTCTCTCTCAGCTCGAAACTCCACCTGTTGACTGTCCTCATCTTCATCCGAGCTACAAATTGTCCTTCGATCGTCTGAGTCGACATCTGAACCCTCTTCTACCTCTATGATAGTCTTCTTGCACTTCTCAATTTCGTCTTCTTCGGAGTAGAAATCAGCTTCTACATCTGCAGCCACTCTTCTTTCAAACTGCAGATTGTCAGCTCTGCTAAAATCCTCATCTTCACTAGCCTCATAGTCACTATCATCATCATCCGAATCACGACCAGCAACTTCTTTACCCTTTTTACCCTTGGTGGCACCTCCATCTTCGTCATCATCACTGTCCATGATCTCAGCAATGTCTTCCTCGGAGATGGTATAGTTCGATGACCCTCGCCTCTTCATTTGCACTTGTTGACATGGCGAGTATATCTTCATCTGACGTGATCTCTGACATAGCATCAGTTGAAGGAGTGCTCCAGAAGAACTTCGGCTTGTCAAGCTTCCCTCCACATGCCTTGTATATGTCAGGCAGATCAAGCGTTGATAACTCGTCGATATCTGCATAGTCCCAGTAGACTGTAGACTTCTCATCCAGAAAATGCTTGCCACCCTTCTTCTGCAATGACTCTGATAAGTGCACTTCAAACGTGAACTCTCCACTAGAAGTACCTGTTGCAAACAACGAAAGAGAGAATGAGTAATTAAAATGACAAAGCAGTAAAGGGCAGATGCTAAAGTCTAACTTCTTTAACCCAACAACTAGTATTAAAAGCCATGAAAATGACATCTGAACCACTTCACACATGCTGCTGGTTTTGCTATTCCACACACTCCCTATTAATCAATTCGAAAAAGACAACAAACTGATGTCTTTTACTGCAATAAAGGCGAGCTGTTTCATGGATAGTTGACTCACCATATTTTGGTTGGGGCGCATTTGGTGCACGCACATGACCCACCATGGTGAAGGCTGAGCTGGAAAAACTGACAAAAACTCCACCATCAGTATAAAGAAAGGTAAAGTTCCAGCCCAAAAAGATTCCCCTTGCCCCAGGACAGCGACAACTCTTCCATTACTCGTCGGGTTATAAAAGCGAAGAATAGAGAAGAGGAGAGAAGAGGGGAAGCAGGTGAGCGTTGCCTTTAAAACAGGAGAGAAAGCTTCTTCTGTCTCCTTCGTCAACCTTCGTCAACCTTCTTCTGTCTCCTTCGTCGATTTAGGGCGGCGGCGTTCGATTTAGGGTTTCGCGCGGGTTGCAATATGGGGAAAACAGCACCACGCGAAGAAGGAGAGTCGCGGCGGAGGAACAACAGATGCGGGAGGGAGGGATTCAGGGCGGCGGCGGCTTCGATTTAGGGTTTCGCGCGGGTTGCAAAAGGGGGAAAACAGCAGCGGGCGAAGAAGGGTCGCGGCGGAGGAAGAAAAGACGCGGGAGGGGTGAGGGATTCAGGGCGGCGGCGGCGGCGGCGGCGGCCTCCATCCCTTCGACGGCGATTTTCGCTGGTGGGCAAAGTAGAGAGGCGGCCGGGAGGATGAAGATGGAGAGGAAGGGAACTGCCCTAATTGGGTCTGCGATTTAGTTTTCAGGGGGGGTTGGGTCACTAGTTTGGTTTAGGGTCAGTTAATTGGGTCTGGTTCGTGGGTTTGGGCAAGAATGGCTGACTGGGCGGGTAAGGGTGAGCTGGCGGGTCGAGTCGGGTTGTCTTTTTTTAATGTTTAAATGTGCTGACTGTGTCTTTCTGTTAGTCACGTCAGCATTTAACGGTCGTCATTAACGGAGGTTAACGGAGGTTAACGGAGAGTGACCGTACTTGGACTGTTCAACCAATTCGAGTGACTATAAATGGAATAAATCAATTCGGGTGGCAAACGTGAAATTTTTAAGCAATTCGAGTGACCAAACTTGCAATTAAGCCGACAAAAACGTATAGTACCAATACTATGTAGCATAGTAAAATTCCTCGTATGTTCTCTCCCTCGTTAATATCTATCCACGGCTCAAGTTTATAGGATTTTATTTTATTTTTATTTTATCGAATATAAGCCCCAGAGTATGACCGAACAACAAATATATATCACCGACAATACTAAAGAACGGTATCCATGTGCAACTGGATTCCCGGTGAAAGAGCCTTTTTTGTCACGAATTGAGCAACTCTGAAAAAGCTCCGAGGAGCAAAATGGCACACAACTGACACAAGGGCGAGAAGAGAGAAAATGAACTTCCCTTGGAATGCGAAAACATCCTCGATGCAGCATCCCTAATGTCGGTTAAGAATCTCTGCACAAGTAATAAAAATATTATATATACATAAGACATTATATCATAGTATCACGAGGAACAAGTAGTTTAGTTATAAAAATATAAGTAATGCCATAATGAAATTTACCAAAGGTAATAATTTTTTTTACCAAAAGTAAATGAGATAGTTTCATCACCTGAGAAGCCAACGAAATCAATCGAATATCCTTGCGCATTATTTGCGGCTTAATCAAATCGGACCAGCACATCTTCACTATGGAAGGTTATTTCATTGAGCCATTGTCGGAATTTAAGATACAACAACAAAATAGATGTAAAGAGCCAACATAAGTGAAACAAATAAAAGAGTCGTCGAAAATAAAATAGTCAGAATACTAACAAATGAGACATCTAGCTCAAATAAAGGTAAAAAAAAAAGAATGTTAACCCGTTTGATACCAATTATGAACCGTTTGGTTTGCATTCGAGTTTCACCTTATGTGAAGGTTGGCGACCCCAGAGTTTACCTATGTGGTACCCGTCGAAGAGCTTCGTTTGCTTCCGTGTTGCTGACATGCTGTAGTGTAGTTGCTGCCGGCGCCAATCACTGTAGCGCGGGAGCGAGCGGTTGGCGGGAGAGAGAGGATGGTGATTACGGCGAGGTGGAGATGAACTGAAGAGGAACTGCGATACTGCTCCGGCCATCGGCGGCCGATTTGACGAGTGATTGGAAGATTAATGGAGCGGGAAGAGTAAAAGGGAAATGAGTGGATGCGATTACTTTAACATAGCGACTCTATCCGATAGACGCGTCTTCTTAAAGGGTTTACTACAAACTGGTTAGTAAGCATATGTACAAGCCTCGGATCTCCTCCTTCATTCCCCAGTCCCTTGCTCATTCCCCCATAGCCGAAAGTCGAGTGCTTGTAATCAATTCCTGAAGATTCTGAATTGGTTATCTGGATTGCGTTTAGGTAAGACCCCAGATCTTAAATTTCACTGTGGTGGTTTGTGTTGCCAGTCTGTTGAGGGTTTTGTTGGTAACATAAACTTTTTACTTGTGTGCATTGGCTGGAAAAGAACGGAACAGATGTTGTCTGGTTTACTGGCTGTGTGTTTTCTAGGGTTGTATATGATCTGGTCTAGTTTCGTGACCTAATTTTGTTGCTTGTTTCATCTGTAGAAGAGGATGGAGCTAACCGGGTCGAATGCTATCGCTTCGTCATCCTGTTCCCCATATTCTCTTCCAGTGGTAGAGTATGAGGTTTTCTTGAGCTTTAGAGGTCCCGACGTGCGCACGACTTTCGCAGATTTCCTCTATAGACTCCTGGATCGTCCCAAGATACGGACCTTTCTTGACGACGAGGAGCTTCGCAAGGGGGAGATGATTTCCCCTTCTCTCGTCAAGGCAATCGGGGAGTCCAGAATATACATCCCGATCCTTTCCCCAGGTTATGCATCTAGCAAATGGTGCCTCCAGGAGCTAGCTCTGATGTTGGAACGATACAAGCAAGATGAAGGTAGTCACATCATATTGCCCATTTTCTATTTGATGGAGCCTAGAGATGTGCGACATTGTAAGGGTTCCTACGAGGAAGCATTGGAACAACATAGATTAAAGTATGGTGAAGAAACCATTAGGGTCTGGAAGGATGCACTCGAGGAGGTCGGGCAAATGACTGGGTGGCGTGTAACCGAATCAGATAGGTAATGTAGCTTCTCTGTGTTTACAGTTCATGAACTTGGCTGGATGTGTTTGGTTGATGTTGGAGACTACATGTGAAATCTCCCGTGTATCTGCGGATGACTTACAAACTTGTGTTTAATTTCTAGACAGGGAGCAGTGGCAGAAAGCGTGTTCTCTGAGGTGTGGTCACACATAAAGGGGAATTACACATTATTGACGAATGAGCTGATTGGAATCGATTCTCACGTAAACCATGTGATGGAGTTGCTAAAATCAGATTTTGAAGGCGGCATCAATGTCGTTGGCATTCATGGTATGGGCGGTATTGGTAAGACCACTATTGCCAAAGCCGTCTATAACAAGGTCTTCACACAATTCGAGCATCATTGTTTTCTAGAAGATGTACGAGAAACACTATCGTTGAAGAATGACGGTGTTACAACTCTGCAAAGTAAGATTATTTCTAGCATTCTAAGAGATGATCACATGGTTAGAGATGCTAGTCAAGGAATCCACATTATAACAAATAGAGTATGCCCCCGCAAGGTTCTCATTGTTCTTGATAATGTGGATGATCGGTTTGAGTTTGGGCAAATCTTAGGCGAAGTAAGAAAATTTTCTCCTGAAAGTAGATTTATCATCACAACAAGAGATAAAAGGGTGTTGGAGTTGCTTCAAGTATCTAAGTTGTATGAACCTAGTGGGATGAGTCATGACCACTCCCTTCAACTACTTCGAAGACATGCTTTTAGAATGGATAACCCCCTAGAAGATAAGACTACTTTGTGCGAAGAGTTTGTAAAAGTTGCTGCGGGACTTCCTTTGGCTCTTGAAGTTATAGGGTCTCTTTTGTTTCGTAGAGATAGAAAATTCTGGGAGGCGAAGTTGATAGAACTAAAGAGAATTCCTCCCACCAAGGTGCAAGAGAGATTGAAAATAAGTTATGATGAGTTGAGTGGTAGTGAAAAACAAATTTTTCTCGACATTTCTTGTGTTTTTATAGGAGAAAATAAGGAATTGCCTTTCTATATGTGGAGTGATTGTAATTTTAATCCGGAAAGTGGAATTAGTACTCTTATTTTGAGGTCCTTGTTAAAGGTGGACGTGGATAACAAGTTTTGGATGCATGACCATGTACGAGACATTGGGAGAATGATAGTTCGTGAAGAAGATGAACAACATCCTTGGAAGCGCACAAGAATATGGTCCAACGAGGATGCTGTAGATATGTTAATCAATGGAGAGGTATTACGTTTCCAGTACTCCATTTTTGTTTCTGGTGCATACAAGAATTCAATAGCAATTTTTTTGAAAATGTCACTTTTAGGTTATGAACCACAATGTTTTATAAATTTCTGGCAACGAATGTTTCTATATACGCATGCTACAAAGTTGTTCTTAACTATACAGGGACAATATTATTTGACATTTTGTATATTAGTTTTTGATAAGGGACATTTTGTATATTATTAAGTTCTTGATGTTCAAATTCGTAAGATTATTGGTTGTTCCTTATGGTATTCTCCCACCTCATTTCCCTTTTCCTATATTATTTTGATTGCTCAAGATAGGATATAAAATTTTTGTGTGTATGATTTCATTTTGGCAGGGAGCCGACCTGGTGGAAGTTCTTAAAGTTGACATGCGTTATGAGGATTTTGAACTCATGGAGAAGGAATTTCAGAACTTGTCAAAGTTGAGATATCTCGAAGTGCACTCTGGAAGGCTGACCGGAGATTTCAAGAATATTCTTCCGAATCTACGTTGGTTGCGCCTTCATTATTGCCGTTCAATCCCTATCAATATAAATATAACGAAATTGGCAGTTCTTGATCTGAGATTCTGCCCTGTACGAGATGACTGGAGATGCTGGGATAAAATCAAGGTTATTACCATTCCTACTTCATTTCATGTTTATGAAGATTAAATTTATGTCTTTGTGATATCAGATGGCCATGGGTGGGAATTGGTCAAAATGATCTATTTTGGACTTTGAATCTGACATTGGAGATTTCGATGAGAGATTTTCGGTTCTTTAATACTTCTATCATTAACGAATAATGAGATGATCCATTTCTAACCATCTACAATACAAAATCTCACATTCATACGTCATAACATTTTTTAGGAGTATAAATCTATGTTAACATCGCATCTAGTTTAACAATAATCCTTATAACATGTTTTTGCCATTGGCGTACTGTCATGATCCAGGCGGCACACAGGCTGAAAGCTATAGATGTATCGTTCTGCGACCAAGTGACAAAAGTCCCGAATTTGTTCGGATGTCCAAGTCTCCAACGGATAAATTTCCTGGGTTGCGGAAACATGAGCGGGGAACTTCACATTGGCGATTTGAAGGGTCTGAGAGTGCTAAACATTGCCAGGACGAAGATAACGAAGTTAATAGGTGGCTTTGGAAGGCTTCAAAATCTGCAAGAGATCAATGTAGGATATTCGCGCTTGAGAGAAATTCCTACTAGCATTGGTAAACTTTCCTCCCTCAAGATCTTGGTGCTAGACAGGCTTGACATTGAAGTACCAAAACTCCCCACGAGTTTAAAAGGGCTATCCCTCTCATCACCTAGGGTTCCCAATCTTTTGGAGCTCAAGGACTTGGAGTGGCTACATTGGAGTCGTGCACTTTTGATTCCTGGGGACATGTGGAAGCTGTCCAAGTTGAAGGATTTGGAGTTGTGGCAGGTTGAGTGCAGGAAGAATGCCTTTGTTCTTCACCAAGAATCAGTTGATCTCAACGACCAGAATCATTGTTCTCTACGACGTCGTACGAGAACCCTTATTTTATCCTCGCCTACCCTTCCATCATCTCTAAATACCCTATCGATTTCAGGTTATCAATTTGTGCCTTTAGAGAGACTACCAAACCTTGTGAATCAGAGTAACTTGACGTACTTGGATTTGTCGGAGATTGGGGTACATGAGATCGCTGGTCTGGGAGAGCTGAGAATGCTGGAGAACTTCGACTTACGGGATGCTTCAAATCTAATTGATCTTGATGGCCTCCAACATCTAAAGCTTCTGAAGGAACTGCGTGTGTATCGTTGTGATGTACTGAGAAAACTGCCCAGCTTGTCAAATTTGACCAAGTTACAGACGCTCAAGATCTTTCGTTGTCCACTCCTCTCTGAAATTCATGGGCTTAGCGAACTGGCGGAACTATCCACTCTACGGATCATTGAGTGTCGTAAGTTGACTGGGGTGATGGGGATTGACAAATTGGAGTCATTGCAAGTAATGAAGATTCGTGATTGCTCTTCCATTGAGGAGCTGCCTGATGTATCTGCTTTGGAGCATTTGCGGGAGTTGAAAATCACGGGATGCAATCAGTTGACTGAGGTGATGGGGGTTGACAAATTGGAGTCGTTGCAAGAATTGACGATTACTAATTGCGTGTCGATTAAGAAGCTCCCTGATCTATCTACTTTGAAGCTCTTGCGAGAGTTGACAATAAGAGGATGCAATCAGTTGCCAGAAGTTGTGGGGATTGAGCGATTGAAGTCATTGCAATTATTGGAGATTACTGATTGCACTTCGATTGAGAAGCTGCCTGATCTATCTGCTTTGGAGCACTTGCGGGAGTTGAAAATTACGGGATGCAATCAGTTGACTGAGGTGATAGGGCTTGGTAAATTGGAGTCATTGCGAGAATTGATGATTACTGATTGCGCATTGATTAAGAAGCTGCCCGATCTATCTGCTTTGGAGCACTTGTGGGCGTTGACAATTATCAGATGCAATCAGTTGCCAGAAGTTGCGGGGATTGAGCGATTGAAGTCATTGGAATTATTGGAGCTTACTGAATGCACTTCGATTGAGAGGCTGCCTGATCTATCAGCTTTGGAGCACTTACGGAACTTGAAGATTACTGGATGCAATCAGTTGACCGAGGTGATAGGGCTCGATAAATTGGAGTCATTGCAAGCATTGAGGATTACTGATTGCGCTTCGATTAAGAAGCTGCCTGATCTGTTTGCATTGGAGCACTTGCGCGAGTTGATAATTACTGGATGCAATCAGTTGACAGAAGTTACGGGGATTGAGAGATTGAAGTGGTCAAGATATTTTACGATAGACGAAAGGCTGAAGACGCAAAAGAGATTGGAGCATGAGAGATGGGAGCTGTTGCATAGGGCTAACAATTCGCGCCCAAAGAAGTGGTCCAGATTCCATAGCTGCTGGGGAGTTTGTCGCAAAGACAGTGATATCATATCGTTATAGACAACATGTTGGGGAGGGGATTTGCCGGAGTATTTGAATGAAGCTGATGGAAGAAAAAGCTCCAGAAATTTCTGCCAAGTCCAAACACTTGAAGACTGTAAAGCTTAAGCACTTCGATTGATTTCGTGAACTCGAGGGCATGAAGACTGCAGGGAAGATCTGATAGTTTATGTGAATGATGGGTTCTGGTTCCATGTTTGCTTTCTTGCTATGCAAAGTGTTTGGGTTCTCTAGCAGCTACTAAGTGGTTGTGATAATTTAGGCTAATGAATGACGATAAGTATATTTGCTGAATGACATTTTGTTGGCTGCGGAATGCTGCAATTAGGGCTCTTGATGAAACAGATTGGAGCGGTCGGATTATTCTTGTGGAGAAATCAACCATTGAAGCTCTGATACTGATGTTGTTCCCTTTATCTGCTGACGTACTTCTGCTGCTTCGTTATTTTGTTACAGACATCTGTTGATTCTATGATTGCTCTGTCCATCTCTTTCCATCGTAACTTGTAAAAGAAGCTAACAAAAGGTGATGGCATCATGGTTATGCTTCTGGTTGTGAAGGTTAAGAACGAACATCGAACACATTAGGTCGTTCTCATTTGTCATGTAGGACATTGATACAATCGATGAAGGCATCGTTTAAAATTCGAAAGGTACATATTAGTTATTCATGTCTGCAAACGCCGGAGGGCATTTGCCGATTCCAAAGAGCGAAAAAAGAAGAACTGTGCACACTCTGCAGCATGTAGTGGCATTGATAACCAAAATTCCCAGTTAGTGAGACAAGTTGCAGCAGTATACAGGCCCGCTGAGAAGGAGAACCAAGTGCAACAAGGTGCTCATTTCACATTTACACTTGCAAATAGCGAGAAAACGAATCACTTATAATCCTCTTCCTGCTTGTTTTCTTGTCAAACGTAAATCTGCTGAAACAACAGATTTCTTTTTAAAAATCCGACTTATATATTCACATTGCTGATGATTCTTGCTTCTCAAAACAACCCAGATCGAAAGCACCACAAATCTATCAAAGGAGGGAGGAGCTGTGTCTCAAGTTCTATGCTTTCAGCTGTTTCAACGGTCATATGCATTCATTCAGGTTCCTGAATGAGGATGAAACTTTCCTCTGCCTTGATATCCATTTTGGTGGGCAGATATTCCCATGGCGCTGGAGAATGATAAGGCAGCCACCCGCGTGGTGGATTCAGAAAAGCTTGGCCTGATTAGGTGTCCCACTTCTCATCATAGCACAGAACTCTTCATAATTGATTCTACCGTCCTGCAAATTACACCGATAGTCCTTTCAGCGTTCGTGTAACTATTCGAGGTACGGAGTAAGGAGAAGTGCTCTTGAAACAGAGATCAACTTACATTATCGGTGTCTACTTCAGCTATGATTTCTCTGATAGTTGCATCATCAGCTATACCATAGTCCTTCATGGCCATCTCCAGCTCATCTTTAGTGATAAATCTGCAAACACATATGATAAATTCATTAGGTTCTGCTCTCAATTCAAGATTCTTCAGAGGCACAATGTCAAATAATTTTCAGCACCAGAGACGTACCCACTGCTGTCCTTGTCGAAATATTGGAAGGCTTTGAAAAGATGTTCATCTCTTTCTAATCTATGTCTGTGCATGGTAGCCGTGATGAATTCAATGTAATCAATCGTCCCGTTTCCATCGACGTCAGCCTGAAATTTCAGAACCGAGTCTAAGTTAGTTATCCATGAGCACATTATCACCTAAAGAAGTTACAGATACAGTTTTAGATGGTGAATTTTCTTACAGCCTCCATGAGCTGCTTCACTTCTACTTCTGTGAGCTTCGATCCAAGGCGAGCCAACCCTGACTTCAGTTCTTCATAGGTGATCGTGCCACTATTGTCAGTATCAATATTGGCAAACATTGACTTCAGACCTTGGATTTCTTCTTTGGAAAGATTTTCAGCGATGACCTGTAGAAGAGTTTTAAGCAGTATCATAAACTGGACCCACATGATTTCTTGAGCTTCTTCTTTGGCAAATATCTTTTAGCCTATACCTTCAAGGCCAGTTTCTTGAGCTTGTTCATTGCTCTGAATTGCTTCATCCTCGAAAGAACTGCACTGTCTATTGGCTTATCTGAAGCTTCTCCACCTTCCTTAAGCCAGGGATGATCTGTATCAGCAAACAGAAATCCAAAACAACTGTTGGTTAATCCCAACATTCACAATTACAAAAGCGGAAAAAACCCTCGGAGAGAAAGAAAAATCCATACCAAGTACTTGAGCAGCAGTAATTCGTCTCTTAGGATCCTGGGTTAGCATTTTCTGAACCAGGTCTTTTGCACCACTTGAGATAACCGGCCAGGGGTGACTTTCGAAATCAATGTCACCTTGCAATATGGCGTCAAATATGCCTTTCTCATTCTCTGAACACAATTGTCAAATTGAAGCACAAGAATTCAGTAAGTCAACAACTCAACTCAAAACCAGGTTCCTCCTCCACCTAATTAGAAGCGAAAAGAGAGAAGAGGCAAGTTCACTATCATAAACACAAACAAGCAGATATATACAAAGAACTCATCATTTTACCTGCCCAAAATGGAGGCACACCACTGAGCAAGATATAGAGTATAACCCCAGCACTCCATACATCTGTTTCCTTGCCATATCTGCGCCTCAATACTTCTGGAGCAACATAATACGCGCTCCCAACTATATCCCGATACACTTTCCCTGCACAATGTAATACACAGGTTTCATCAGCTGCAATGCCACATCCTGATTACTATCATACAGGCATGGAATGACTAGGTTTCAGTTTTCATGAGTCATGACCAATACTGGAGTGCTACAAAGCTTGGAACTTTCCAAGGAAAGAAAGCAAACATTGGTTGTTTTTATCTAGCTATTATACAGAATCATGAAGCCAACCATTCAACTATTTTTAGCTAATTTTTTCAGAACCCAAAAAAGGCAAATACTGAAAAACCTCACAACATATAAGCACCTGGAAATTCATAAAAAGGAATGATCATAAAGACTCAGCTAAATCGGAGAAATATAGACCAAGGAAAATATCTTACCTTCTTCAATGAACACGGAGAGGCCGAAATCAGTAGCCTTGAGAAGCGCAGTATTGTTATCTTTACTAGACAGCAGGAAATTCTCAGGCTTAAGATCCCTATGCATCACACCCATGAAATGGCAAATATGCACCACATTCACAATCGACCTGCAAATCCCAGCAGCCTCCTTCTCACTGTAATGTCCCTTGGCAATAATCCGATCGAACAGCTCCCCGCCGGCACACAGCTCCATCACCAGATGAACCGTCTGCTTATCCTCGTACGCCCCCTTGAATTCAACAATATTGGGCTGCCCGCTGAGATGCTGCATTATCTGAATCTCCCTCTTCATATCCTCCTTATCATTCTTCGTCACCAGCTTCCTCTTGGAAATCGACTTGCAGGCGTACTGCTTCCCCGTCGAATTCTCGATGCAGAGGTAAGTAACCCCGAATTGGCCCCGACCCAGTTCTTTCCCGATCGTGTAGTGGAGCTTGACGTCCTCGTAGGCCTTCCCGAGGATCGTGTCGGCTCGCCGTGCCGGCTTCGGGCTCGGAGGAGCGAGGAAACCCGGCTTTTTGGGGGTCCGGAGAGGGGACTGCGGAGGGATCGCATAGCCGCCGGCAGAGTCTCCGGCGGCAGCCGGAGGAGGTTTAGACGCATAATTGTTGTAATCAGTAGGAGGCAGGTCTCGAGATTTGGGATGGTAGTGATTCTGATTATTATGATTCTCATTAGGGTTGTAGCGGAAAGCCTCGCCGCCTCTGCCGCCTTTGCTTACGCAGTGACCCATCTAAAACCCACAGCTGCTGATAGGTTATCAAAATTCTGGATCAGAGGCTGAGAAGAAAAGATGGCGTCAGGGTTTGAATTGAATTGAATTTGGGGGAAGGTGGGTTTTGATCAGAGAAACAAAGATTCAGAGGTGAGGTAAGAGTAAAGACAGAAAGGAAACCAAGGAAACAAGAAACTCCAAAAAAAAAATAGACTAGATAATTAGGGGGGAAAATTGGAGGAAGCTAAGGGAAGAAGGAGTAAAAGAGAGAGCGACCCAGAAGAGGAATTGAAGGGGGAAGAGGTGGGAGACGATAAAGACGACAGCTTTGAGATCAATCAAGCAAGTTTGCAGGCGGATCGATTAAAGAAACAGTTTCTTATTGTGGCGGAGATATATAATGGAAGCGAAGTGGTGGGGGATTTCGTTGCTTTTTAATTTAGGGTTTTTTTTTGCTTTTTATGGGGGAAGGAAGCAAGGAAGGAGTGTGAAACTGTGATGTGAAGAGGAGAGAAAGCAACCGATCGAGGAGACGGAGTTGGTCAACTCTCAAAAGTTTGGACTCCGTTTGTAAAATTGGTGTTTGGATCAAACTCTTGCTGATTTCCCAGCTAATATCTTACTATTTTCAAGATTAATATCAGGATTAGGATGATAATTACTACTTGTTTGCACTGAAATTCATTCACGGTCACGGCAGGAAAGCGCGGGAAGAAGCTTCCTTGTTTTTTCTTCTTCTTCTTCTTCTACTCTGTTTTTTTTCTCGTGTTATTCAGTGCCTTGTGGGAAGGGAAACAGAGGGGGAAAAGGCGGCAAGATTGTGGGGTCCACTCAACAAATATATAAATCACCCGCCAGTCCAGGCCAAATCAGGTCAGCGATTGGATCACAGCTGTCTGGGACACGTGGCGAGATGGGTGGTTTTCCTGTTTAGGTTTTCTCGTTGCGAGCTGAGCTGGGCCTCGCTGGTTTGCGTACAAGGATGAGAAAACGTGTGGGGTGGCGAAGTGGGCCGGCCACTCGTTTTGTTGGGCTAACTGTGAAACGCAAAGAATGAATGGTCATTGACCGGTTTGGTTACGGTTTCTGGCATTGCCCAACCCGACCTACATTTTTCTGGTTGTTTTGGTTGCAGTTTATGATTATGCATTAAGAAACTAACATAATCTGGTCG